AAAACATAGGTCACTGACTTTTGTATTTTGTGACGCTGATATCGTCACATATTAGATTTATAAGTGACGACAGAAGTATCACGTAAAAGTAAAATATGTGGCGACTCTACCTTTTTGTCACTTAAACTATCGTTGACGTTGTATAGGCGACAATAAATGGGATGTTGGAATTTCGTCACATATAGTCATATATGACGAATTTTCATATATATGTGATGAATGTTGGTCACTACAAGAGTCTTGTTTTCTTGTGGTGGGTGCTTTGCAATGGTTTTGAAGGATATATAATTGTGTTTTCTCTTCAAGTGATGGTATGTGTTTACCTTGTGTATTTAAAGGTGTTGGATCCAGCTTGTAATGTTTAAGTATTGTGAGCTTATCTAATTTGTTGGGTAGGTGTGGATTTTCCGTAGCTAAGGAATCATACTTGCGAGGAGTTGGTTTTGGATTGTGTTATTTTGTTTGTTTTGTTTGTGGTTTTGTGATGCCTCATAGAATGACATCTTTGTCGAATGAGCATGGTCTGTTGCAAGTTCATCAAAAAGTGATGCAAGGTTTTGTCCTTGTGCGCATTAACTTTTTGTTTGGTTAGGTGTAGTTATGTGACTAGGTTTTGTATGGTTTTTTGTTACATTTGTAATCATAAAATTAATTTCTTATCGATGATGTTCATGGTTTTATTTTATTAATAAAATGTTTTTTTATCTTAATAAAAAATGCAAATTCATATTTAAAGTTGTTCAATAATGTTTGTTTTGTTCTTTTATTATATCTTGTATTGGTTGTTGGAGAAGAGAAGTGAAAAATGGCAAGGACTAAGAGTTTGGAAGCGAAAGACGCACTAATTGAAGCCTTTATTGAGAGAAAGGCTAACTATCAATCACGAGATTTCCGATTTTGTTTGTTATGGCTACTACCATGATCAGCATTAGGGTTTATGTCCCCTTGACATATTGTATTTTTTTTGTTTTCTTTTTATAAATCTAGCCCATTGTCACTTTCCATGATAGTAATGCTAGAGTGAGATTAAATTTGTTAATTTACAGGAAAAAAAAACACATGAAGGAAAAAAAAGGCTAAAAAAAAAACTCAAAAATTGTGTTTTTTGTTATAGTATGAATTTAGTGAATGAAGAAAAAGGGAGATCAGCCAGAGAGAAGAGGAGGGAGAGAAGTGCTTGAGTAATTCGTAAGTCATATTCCTCATGCCTTGTGCCTTTATTTATACTAACAAAGGAGAGAGAAACTTGCTCAGTAATACACGTTGTACAAAGAAAATCTTCTAAATCTCATAGGATTTGTATACATAATCTACTAAGATTTACACAATCATATTCCTAATTAAATTAGAATTGCATCACTCCTTCATGAGTGTGTAAGTACTCAAGTAGATGACACATCAAGTCTTCAACGATAATGTAGAGGTAGTTGATGAAGTTATTGGCACAATGAATGAATGTGAGTCTAAAAAACAAACTGAAGAATGCATATAGTAGTAAAATTTACAAAACCTAGCTATGTTAAAAATCAAGGCAGGATAAAACCCATAGTCTAAGGAAAAGGATGAGAAGATACATTATATCAAAACTAAAGGCCTTCACAATGCAAGTACAACGCACACAAAGGTATGACCAACCCATGATAGGTGCCTCATTAAAACTTCGTTAGGTAGCAAAAAGTCAGTGGAAAAAAGATCCTACCATAAGGGGAAAAGAGTACATTAGGTCAAATGAGTGTACTTCTGGATACTCCCCCTGAGTTTGACAAAACTTTCAAATGATAATACGAGCATTGCAAATGAGATAATTTATGCACACAAATCTCTTGAACAAATTTTTGGAAGCTTGACTTAGGTAGTGACTTTGTGATGAGATCAACAAGGTTCTACTAAGATTAGATATGCTTGACTTCAATCTTATGATGCTTTGTTGATATGATGATGAATATGCTCAACAAGAGCTCTTGATCATATCTCTCATGTATGGCTTATGTAGGTGCAATGAGCTTGTATTGATTTGAAGATTTTGCAACTAAAGTTTATTTCGTTGACCTCCAAGATACTGTAGTATTCCTAACGGTAAGGATATAACTGTCTAGGAATGTGCCTTGTGCGGGTTTGATAATAACCTTAGTTAGTGAACTTCGGGTTCCATAACCTCTTCAGACCAATAGTGAAGGAAGTTTCATGTCTAATACAATGAGCTAAGTACAACAAAGAGTAAAGTTGAATTTAGATATAAAACTTTGCGTTCCACAACCCCTTTAAGGGTCTCATTTGCATCTAGCGACATTCATTATCTCACTATTGTGCTTTTGAGTGAACAACATGGTAGTAATCAGATTTGAGAATTCAGTGAAGTTCTGTTCTCTACGTTGTTACTTCAAGGGTATGTTAGAGTGAGAAGGATGAGAAAAATCTTCTCCGGTCGAGATTCACTCGAATTCTATAAACTTCAAAATTGTATCTATTAACAGACGTAAAGGTTACAATCATATTTTTCTTCAGGCAAGACCATCTTGCATGATTGAACGGTCTATAGAGCGAGCCAAATAGCCCTGGAATCCCCTTTAGTGAGGTACTTCCATTTTTAATTTTTTTAGGCATAAATCTTTGAATGAAGATAATGGAGGAGATTTAGCTTAATTCACGCCATGATTGGCTTTAATGATTTTTCAGTTTCTGAATAGTCAAGTGGAGTATCATGTCTTGTACCCACATAGAGTAGTTTCGATCAGAAACTTCCATGTCACTGAGATCGAATTTGAGGCGGTTTCGATAGTCCACTGAATGGAGAGAATAAGATTATGGCTGGTGCTATGAGAAATAAAAACCTACATAAAAGCATCTGCAAATGAGATGTCAAAATACTAAGTGGAATGCCATTGCGCATATTTGACATCAAGTCTCTCCAACCGAAGTGTTATTAGTTGATTGGATTTCAAGGCTTTGTGATTTGGAGTCAAATTTTGACATCAATATCAAATTTATTGTTAATTCATCTTAATGGTGGGTTCCTTATTCCACTAACACTTCAACCAATTTCATTCGAGAAGTACAAAATTTGACATAAGATTTCAGATTGCCACATTAGCCATCAATTGTATTTTGACTCTTATAATTTGATATTTCCTTTGGAGATGGTCTAAGCATCAAAGTTAGAACATTGGGTTCTAACTCATGGTTTGGTTTATTGAAAACCTTCATGTTTTTCATGGGTGTATTGTTTTATTAAAGATTAAGGTTTCAAAGACACTAAATTTGAAATTACAAATTTGATATAAATGAACTTCTAGTTCAAAACAAGGTACTTGCAAGAACACAAGATACAATGTACAACTAGTACAGTGAATTTGGGTTGCTTTGGGGACCCAATGTGAGTAGCCTTGGAACTACTAAAGGATGTCAATAGTCCCAAGAAAAATGATAAAACATAGAATTGTAATTTATAAAAAATGGATTGCATGCCAAAAATATGTTTTTTTGTTAGAATCATGGACTGAGGGTCACTAAATTAATCCAAAAGGTCGGGCCTAAACAGGGGTCGACAATGTAAGCAAGAAAATATAGTGGTCCAAGCTCATATTTGGACTGGGTGGCTGCGAGCCAAGTAGAAGAGAAGCCTAGATTATGGGTATCAACCGCAATGAAGGCATCTCAACAAAAACTTGGCACTAGCTGAAGCTAAAAGGTAAGCCTAATTTTTTGGGTTTGGATCATGATGTGCAGCAGGCCCAACAAATTGGGTTGCAAAAGCAAGATGCCAAACGACATTGTTCTTAAATGGGTGCAGGTTGTGGCTTGCGTGCGCGATTAGGGTTTTGTTTATAATTTTCTTAAAACACCATAGTTTCCTTGTATTTTCATGCTTTTATTTGTACTAGCACAATTTACCCTAGCAATATCGAATATCATAATATTGCATAGGAAAATCAACATAATAAAACATGAACAACATGCATAATTGAACAATATATGCAACATATAAAGCAGAAATAAGTTGGGGTTTATACATCATGGTGAATGTTTTTCATGCTATCAAGGCTTATAAAGTATCGATTTCGTATTTTAGAAGAATCTAAATTGGATGGAAACGATAAAAGCCTATGAATGGTGGTTGTAAAAGATCATTTTCCAAAATCCTTCGATTTCTTAGCGCAACAACATGAGCGTGTTGATAATGTATTACATTATGAATTTAGTGAAGAAAGAAAGATGGAGATCGGCTAGAGAGAAAAGAAGAGGCTTAGGAATTCGTGAGTCATATTCCTCATGCGTTGTGCCTTTATTTATACCAATAAGGGAGACAGAAACTTGCTTTCAAAGATAATACAAATTGTACAAGGAAAAATCTTCTACCCATATGATTCCTCCACATAATCTAGAATGATTTACACAATTATATTCTTAATTAAGTTAGAACTGCAATATTTTTAGATTTATTGCATGACTCCTACCGAAAAAGTTAAAAATTTCTAAAAATAGGTAAAAACGCTAGAACCCTCAAAATTTTGGATGATACTTCCAAAAGAGTGAGGATCCTCAAATCACATTTGTTCATCATACATCATGCGGTCAGAAATTATTGTAAATTTTTCGATGAATGAATGTGATTAGAGGATTGGAGGAATATGATTTCTAACCGCACAATAAACGATAAACGGATATGATTGGAAGATTTCCGGGATCCTCACAAAGAGAATCCAGCGAGGATCCTCTCCCCTTCCAAAATATTCGAATTGGCATGAATTTACGAAATTCTGAAATATCTAAAATTGACCGCTGATCAATTTGGGACGTTTTAGAAAAGTTGGGGGACCAAAGTAGGACAAAACAAAAATTAAGGGGGCAAATTTGAATTTAATGTAGTTGTCAGCTCTTGAGTAGAGCAGCGGCTTTTGATGGAGAGCAGCGGGGCATTGAGTATTGGCAAGTCGCTTATTACAAAAGCTCGATTGGCCACGACCCACTCAGGTACTTTGTGATTTCTCTCATCTTCTGTACCGTAATTATACATATTTTCTTATGTTTTGAACCCCCAAATATGTTTAGTTTTTCATGGATTCCAAGTTTGTTGCTTTTATCATTTCGTCAAGAAACAGAACGCAGCTGCGTTTTTCTCCTTCCGAGAGATTTTTCCAAGTGCCCACGTGTGGAGGAAATGGTACATTTTCCCGTGTCTCTCTACTTGTATTGTGACACGTGGAGTACCTGCTTGAATATCGGGCACCTTGAAAATTTCCTCCTTCTTTTGGAGCACTGGATGTGTTCGATGAAATGCCCGAGAGAGATGCACGTTGTGCGTTCACTTGGCGTACGTAACTTCAAAAGATTTTCAGTTGGCTGCCTTTCGGTTTTTTTGGCGTTGGTTTTCAGTGGAAATAGCTGGTTTCAATTTGATGTGGGAAAATACAGAGTTGATCATTAGGAGATATCCATCCTATGCTTGATGATTCATGAATCTTTTGAGTTTTTTCATTCTCTCGTATTATAGTGGCAATTAGTGGCATAACTACTATCAAATTAACGTGCAGGATATTTTTTGTGTTGCTTATTAAATGGGGGAGCCATCACTTTTTGATAAAATGATCAGCCATCTACGTGCAACATCCAAGTATGAGCATTATATTTTTACTTAACTTGTCATTTTCCATCTTAAGATGATATGTCTCTGTTATTCTAAGGCCTTTAACTACTGTTTTTCGTATCTTGAACTACTTCCATTGGTCTTGAATCTTGATGAAGTATTTAAAAGTTCAGTTTAGGATGTAGGCACTTCTTAATTCTGGGCTTTGCCTACACCGCCTCTTGTCATGTTATCTAATCAATTTGACTGTATTATGTTTGTTTCACTTCAGTCTCCTTATGTTTATGGTCTGTAATGTAAGGTATTATACTGGCTATCCAAAGGATCTTGGGCCATCAAGGGTCATCCATTTTACATCAGAACGCGAGTTTGTCCAGCTCCTTCATGAAGGCCATCCCGTGGTTGTTGCATTCACCCTCAGGTCATCTAGAGCTGGTCTCCATCAATTTTTTCTTTTTGATGTTAAACCTATACTCTTCAATTGAAGGTTTAAATACTTCATTTGGATAATGCAGGTGTAATCTCACAAAACATCTTGATGAAGTATTGGAGGAAGCTGCAGCTGAGTTTTATCCACATGTAAAATTTATGCGCGTGAGTAACTAAATACTACCATTAATTATTAATGATATCAATTGTTTGCCTTCAACTATGAATGCTCAAACATGTTGTGCGCTAGCATGAGCCTTGAAAACATATTTATAAGCAGTGTGTGTGATTAAAGCCCATGCCCTTACCTTTGGCCCTTATAGCCCAATGGTTTTATTGGCATTGTTTCGAAGAGGGAAGTTTTACCTTTAAAGAAGAGAGCTGCTCACACCAGAAAGAAGAAAAAAGATCTGTCCTCGATGAAAGCATGATTCCATGATTCTTGAGCCAATTTTCACATAATTTTATGTTAATCTTCCCTTGGAAACAGTAGTCTCTTATATGTTTTGTTCTTGCATTGGCATTTTCAGGTCGAATGCCCAAAATATCCTGGTTTCTGTATAACACGGCAGAGGAAGGAATATCCATTTATAGAAATATTTCATAGTCCACAACAAGTAAGACAACATATCTTTCTCTACAATTTTCTTGTTTTGAACCTTGAACTTGAAGAGAGTCTGTTTCGTATTTTATAGCATTCAAAAAGTCTTGGTGGCATGCAGTATGATCAGGATTCCATCATGCATTTAATTTTTCATTGTAGCGTGCTAAAGGCCATCAAACAAATTCGGGGGTAAAAATGGAAACTAAATCCTGTATCGGCATCATAAAGTTTCCATTTTAGCCCGAATTTGTACCCTTCTGGAAAGTAAGGGAAAGTGGTGTTTGTCCATCCATGACATGCTTTGTTGATATGCTGAAGGTTTTCTTTTGTATTTTTGACTGAGACACCTCTTAGGCACTATGCAACTGCTCGTCTTTCGCTTATTGAAAATTTTTCTGATTCATGCACAAAACCAGGGAAGGGTTGCTGATGCAAATATTACAAAGTACTCTGTGAAAGTTCTTCCCGTAAGTTTCCACTCTTGCTTACAGATTATGTTGTTTCTTTCTCAAGTGAATTTTCCTCTGTCATATTCCAACCTGATTACATCGCTCCATATTCTAGGGAAACCATTTTTACTTTTATGTATTCATACAGAGACTCGTCATCTTTTTTCCCCTCCATTTTTATTCTCACGCGTTGTCTGTTTTGTCATATCTGCTCATTTCCAGTTCAATTACGACACTAGTGCCTACGGATTTAGAGAGTTTTTCAAGCGGCATGGGATACAGTCGTCTAGTCCACAGTGAAAATCTGGTGGCGAATGAGTACGAGTTTGCAAGTTAATTAGTTTTTGTTTATTCGTTGATCAAATTATACAAACCTTGGTCTATATGTAATGATTTGAGATCTTTGAACTAAAGCCGAAGTTTACTGATTTGTCTAATTTTTCCTAAACCTTATATAGTATGATTGTTATATTATTTAACAACTATGTTACAATAAATCTCAAACCTTACAGTTCCAACTTAAGGTGAAACACATACTTATTCTCATCTCATTGCCATTAAACCTCGCGTCATAACATTTTCGTTTCAATAAACGACTCGAAATTGTCGGAAGGGAAAGTAAAGGGGTGTGTGCTTGAAGGTCTTGATTGATGCATACCATGGGTGTGCGTCTATATTTCTTGCTACTTCCTTCGACTGTGGACCTGGAAACATGTCAATGCTTTACCAAAAAGTTTGTAGATTGTCTTACCTTTACCAAAAAGTTTGGACTCCTTTCCTCTTCTCAAAGTTTGTTATACCCTAATCTTTACGAGCCTAACATACTAATGTTCAAGCTTGGCTTGTTTCTTGCACGAGCCTAGCTTTGTCAAGCCGAATCCAACGCAAGCTCAAGCTGTTTTGAGCTAATGCTAGTTGGTCCAGTCTGAGAGGAGGGAGATACAACACAGAGAAATTACATGAATCCGTTTCACGCAAGTTTTTCTTCATGTATGCAGCATGATATGATGAAAAAGTGATAGTAAGAGGTATCTAGTACATTAAAGATGCCTCGACATACGTGCATACATATAACAATAACTTCTTGAAAGCAGCCGGTTGCCAAACTCTTGAAGTTATTCAATTCTGCATGTTCTTCTACCAGTAAGCCCATCACTGTATAATAACTTTGCTGAGAAGAACAAAAGTCAAAGAAATTTGGATAATTTGCCTATACACCCTTTGTCGACATGTCATCATCACGGCCGACTCATATCCTGCAGTACCACCCGGAAGGTTTGGATATGTATAACTGAGAGTTCCTTTCTATCGAGGGAGAAGCACTTGGTGGGATTTACTCTGGATCTATTTTCGTCATCTGAACTATTTATTTTTTTATTCTCAACTCAAGATTATCCAACAAAAACTGAATTATTTATTTTTGTAATTCTCAATTCAAGATCATCCTAACAAAAAATAAGATAAAATCTGAAACCGTTAATGAGTGTAATTGGAGTTAAGTGAATGGACGAGTCTGATACTTCAAGAAAAAAAAACAAAAATGACAGGCATTTGATTGAGTGATCAAATGACTTCAGATTTCAATGGTTTTGTTCAAGAAAGACCTTTGAGAGAAGACTTATATATTTGGATTATTAAAGAGCATCCCGCTGGGATCCCAAAGAATGGCCAAACATAGGGTTGGTAAAGCATTATGGGACATCTACGTGTGGAGTTATATCTCATAAGACCTCGAAAATGGATTTTTCTTTAATACTATTTAGCATTGAATGATGCGGGAAATAAATGACTCAAATTGAAAATGGAACATTATCACAAATCTAGCAAAAACAAGAAGGAAAAAGAAATTACTAAAATCTAGTAATTCAAATTAACTTTGTTTTTTAATTTTTTTTTTTTTTTTTTTTTTTTTTTTTTTTTGCAAGTAACCTTTACCACAATGGTGAAAAGGAGTTTGGTCCTTGCATGATGGGGTGGATTCAAACCCCGTCGGGGCTAATCTAACATTTAATCTAGCAAAATCTATCGTATGACAAAAAAAAAAAAAATTTGCTTTATGTCAATTACGCAGCAATGTGAAGACCTGTTTGGTAGTATTCCCTGCCTTTTTGGCATGAGAGGATCCAGCCTGAAGACTTGTTTGGTAGTATTCCTTGCCTTGGTGAGAATGGATCCTTGCCGGATCCTCTTTGTGAGGATCTCAAGGATCCTCCAATTACATTCGTTCATCGTACATCGTGATACCAGTTTTCGTCAGGTACTGTTTATATTCAATTTTAAATAATAAAAATTACAATGATTTCTGACCGCACAATGCACAATGAACGAATGTGATTTGAGAATTCTTAGGATCCTTACACCTCAGGATCCTCACAAAGAGGATCCGGCGAGGATCCCCACTCCTTTTTGGCTGCAAAAGCGATTTCAGATTGTAGTTTTGCATGCATAAGACCATCTCCAAAGGAGATGTCAAATATGCCAAATAGGATTAAAAGACATTCAAGTGTTCTTCAATGGATATGCCATATATGATTTGGCATGTGAGTCATTTAATTCCTTGCTTTCTAGCTGCCTTTTTTTACAGCAAACAAAGAAGGAGTCAAATATATTTAATTTAATTTTTAATGCATGGGTCCTGTTGATGCACAAAATCGGCGAGGACTTTGGTACAACAGAAAGTGTCAAGTTTGTGACCTTCGCTAGGTTGCTCTGGTCATTAGTGTGGATAAGTATGTAAATGAATAGAGACAGGGAAGCAAATAACACAAGATGTACGTGGTTCACCCAGATTGGCTACGTCCACGGAGTAGAAGAGTTCTCATTAGTTGTGAAGGGTTTACACAAATACATAGGTTCAAACTCTCTTTTAGTGAGTTCTCGTGAATAGTTTAGTACAAATGACATTAGGGATTATTGTGAGAGAATGATCCCCTTTTATAGAAGAAAGTTTCTAGCTTTGTTCTGACATTGACACATGTCGTGTTGTGATTGGCCTCTGATATCACGATGTGATTAGCTTCTGATATCGACATGTGTCCTGTTGTGATTAGCCTCTTGGTTGGAGGAAAAGTCTTGTGGGTCCTTGACGGTATGTTGTTGACTAATGCTTAGTAGTTTCAGGATTGGTCAAGTATGGTACAAACAGTGCTCCCCTAAGTTCCCGAGTAAGGGAAGCTCCTCGGTTGGGGACTTGCAAGATCCAAGCCATTGAGTAATCACGAAACTTCCAAGTACCGAAGTGTGGTGTCGCCTTCACTTGCCTTCTCTGTCCTGTAAGTAGATGTGGCATCTTCTCTTGGAAGTACTTTTCCTTCATCCAGGAGTGGTATCTTTTGTTGGCGTTGACGCACAAGGTAATGTATCATTTTCATTTAAAGCTTACTTTTAGTTTCGGGTTTGGTCAAGTGCGATACAAACCATATAGTAGGAGTCCCCCAAGTCTTTAAGCGAGGAGATCTGCCGAAGGAGGTAACAGATAAGGTAAGCAATCAAGGTTCCAAGCAATCAGTCTCAAATCGGTAGGTTGATCTTGAGTTCCGGCTGATTGTACTCATTCTCCCTGTCTCTCATTCAGCAATAAGGATAAAGAGAAGAAACAGGGAGAAAAGATGATATGAGGTACTCTTATTTTTGGAGAAAACGGACGAATCGGCACGTGCTTTGTTGTACTTGACTTTCCACAAGTGTATTCTTGAACTGGGCTGGAGGGTTTTCTGGTTTCCTCCAAAGTAGCGAGCCGACTCCAGAATTTAAGGGTCAAAACAAGTCCGTCAGACCTGGAGTATGTTCGATCCTGATGATATAGGATACTTTTGCTGTTTGACAAAGTAGTAGATGTGGTATGGCGAAGCTTTGTTCTTCGACGACAGTGCTAGCAAAAGGCTGTTGAGGCTTCTCGATCTCTTCAATTAGAGCAATGATGCCGAGCTTGGATTTGACTTAGACTCTTCCGTCTGGATTGTGCGGTTTCACAAGAAAGGGTGTCGTGCTGTAGTGATATGTTCTAGCTCGCCGTTGAACCTTCTGCTTCAATCTTTTGTATAGCAGAAATGGTGCGTAACCTTTGCATTTAAATGGTCCTTCAGAGCACTACTTCTCAGTGACTCATCCATGCTTGGCAGCTTCAGTGTAAAGAGCCAATATCGTACCAACTGTTCTGAGGTATTTGCCGAAGGAATTCATGACCTTGACAACAGTTGAGGATGAGTACTCGAGAGCAATGCTAGGCAAGCGACCAGGCAAAGGTTCCGGGCAATCAGTTCTAGATCGGAAGTTTGATTTCAGGTTCCGACTGATTGCATTCTTTCTCCTTGTCCTGCAGGTAAGAGCAAGGGCAAAGGAAAAGACAGGGAAAAAGCATGATATGGGATACTCTTGCTTTCAACCCTGATGATATGAGATATTCTTGCTCTGATGTGGCTGGTTGGCATGGGTATTATCGAAGGAGAAGAAAATACAGTATTTCGAGAAGCTAGATTGGGAGTGCCATTTCGGATATGAGGAAGGGTTGAGTATTTTTTTTTATTTGGCAGGTCTGCCTGGCTGTGGAGGATGGAGGTCGACATATATAGGGATTGTCCCAACAGCGAGTGGTAATGCTGTTCCTTTACCCTTCTCGGTCAAAGCAATGTAGTGGTCGCTGCAAGGTTCACGTGTTTTAACTTTGTCAGAGGACTTTGAAAAAGTGGTCTGTGGTATCCAGAAAGCTGATGTTGCGTGTGAGGATTGTGGACAAATTTTATTCAATGAAATCCGACTTCTCGAAGTTCAGGGAGCGGTGCCTCTTCGATTTCTGAGCAGGCAATCTTGTTGGGGATATGGTTCTTGAGATTTGGAGAGCGGTGCCTCTTCGATTTCTGGGCAAGCAATCTTGTTGGGAGTGTTTTCTTAGATGTGAAGAAAAGTTGGGCATTTTTGCAAGTCTGCTTTGCCACGGAGCATAGAGGTTGACACATATAAGAATTTTCCAATAATCAAGCAGTGGTGCTATTCCTTTATCCTTGTGGGTAATAGTAGGGTAACTCGGCCTTCAACATTTACCTGTCTTAACTTTGTCAGAGTTCTTTGGCAAAGTTGTCCTTGGTATCCGAGGAACTGATGTCGCGTGTGAAGATTGCTAATAAATTTTAACCCAGGAAATCCGCTTCTCGAAATTTGGAGAGTGGTGCCTCTTCGATTTTTGAACAAGCAGCCCTATTGAAGATCTGACTTTTTCTTTTATAGGAGCACCAATTAAGTTCAAGGAGTATGTTCTGAAAGTTATTGCTTGTAGGAATTTTTCCCTTATCTTCATACTTCTGAGACTTACTGTACTTCATTTTTGTAGGAGAGGTAGCCAGGTCTCCTCAGGATAACATATGGCGCCCATCCTTCTTATCTCCTACTGGTCCCCTTACTATTGGGGACTCTGTGATGAAGAATGATATGACC